TTTAAACCCCCACCCCACCCCACCAAGAAACACTCAAATAATTTTGTCCCTCACCCCACCTCACGTCACCCCCTACCAAGCCAAAAGCCCTAATGTTATTTGTGTGTTAATAGAACTTAGGTGGTTTGTACTGTCACTGATTCTATTTTAAAGGTTGTCTCTTTGGAAAAAAAAACCTTGATATTTATTCTAGTTCTTCTCTCTCTATCAAAATATGCATTAGTTAAAGTACTAATTCAAGCCCCTTTGAAAAAAAAAAAGATATGAAGCTGCTGGAAAATGGAGAGCAAGGATGACTATGGCTGGATTTAAGCCGTGCCCTTTAAGCACTTATGTGAATGCTGCAATTAAATCTCTGTTGAAATCGTACGGCGACAGATACAAGGTCAAGGAGGAAGCAGGAGCTCTCTATTTCGGATGGGAGGATAAGATTCTTGTAGTGGCTTCAACATGGAAATAACAACAATAATATCTTGTTTACTCTGTTGTATATGAGTGCAAGATCATGACATAGAACTCGATAATATTACAGTACTGTTTTCGGGAATAAATGCAGCCTGTAGAGTTTTTGGGACTAAATATGGCGTGTGTTCTCCGTCCTGACCGATAAATCTCTGTAAATACATGAAGTTCTTTTAAAGGTGTGATCTTTTGTGTTGCTTGTATTAATATGATGAAGCTTGTAAGACTATTTTTATCTGAATGTGCGTCATGTGAGCTTGTAATCAACATCGTTTGATGTATGTTTATGAATCGGAGGCGTGTGATCAAAAAGTTGCTAGATTCTATAGATTTTTGTTGTTTAGTGAAATTGCCCTGCTAAAGTCTACACCTGCTTTATGTCAAGGAGACGCAATATAATGGTGATCCAAATCACAAGTTTTCTTGAGCAAGGACTGTTGCCCAGATATTTAACGTGGAACCTTCTACATCAGTCAAAATCTCTCTTTACCAACAAGTCGAGACTTTGTAAGCTCAAAGACTTTTCATCCAAAAATAGGTGCATGATACGGGCATAACAAACTCTGGACATAATAACAAAAATAGGTGCATGAAAAAAAAGTTCATTGTTTTGTGGGGTTAAAACGGGGGAAACCACAGTGCTGCAGTGCAGACGGATTGCATTGAGAGTCACAGTTCAAATGATTCTATCAACTGAATATAGCCGCTCCTGAATCTGAATCATCTAAAAGCCCTGTCTATTTACACAATGATTTGTCTCAGGGTAAGATTTGTACACATACGAAGCAAACCAGAGAATTAAGTTGCCTGGAAATCACCTGAATCTAACTAGTTTCAAGGTTTTCAACTCAACAGAGAACTCAATTAAACTGCATGCAAGCGTTACGATCCTACGGTTCATCAGATCATAAGCATAAACGGACCGTTATATTTTTATCAAGAAGCAACCGATTATTATGATTTAAACAACCTTTTTCCAGTAGAACATAGAAAGTGCAAAACCCCTTCTGTTGCTTCAAAAGCAAAGAAACGATTAAACATGTTCGATACTTCAAAAATAAAACAAATAAAAATAATGAAACACTTCAAAATATATTGATATCAATATCGATCTCTTGCGACTTTCGTTAAAGAACCATTGGTTAACTTGTTCAAATACTCAGCACCGAGACAGGTTTCTCCACTAAAATCTTGATATAAATAAAAACTACACTGCAGTATTCATCATTTCTGGCTGTTATAAGGTAGTAATGGCTCAAATAGAATGAGACTTTACAGATCAAATGGATCAATTGAAGTATGGCCACACGAGAAAGTGAAAATGGGGGAAAATAAAGAACATCTAAAATACTTTTACCGCCTAACATATACATGAAACTTGTCAGAAGAATATCAAGGAGCATTTCTGAACTCTTGTCTCCAATTGATATCCCCCACTAGTCTCAATATGCTCATTTGCTCAATATATGCACGAAACTTCATGTAGGATCACAATGTAGCTATATCTAAATTTCATCAGTACTTTGCCTTTCCGCTGGGGGGAAAAAACGTACTCAACATCAGGATTGAGATCTCTCCCTCATTTTTGCTTTAGCAAAGAACACACCTGCCAATAGACCTGCAGAATGCACGTCTTGATAAGAAATTGAAACTGTTAAGGGGAAATTATGCCTCTAATGACGGAGATAACCTACCAAAGAGAATGCTTGTTAAATTCTCCATGCTTGTAGGAACCTTGAAAAGAATGATTCCCGCGACGGAGAGAGGAATCTTGTTTAGGGATCCGGTCAGACTGCAAATAGCAATTACATCAATTCGGAAGATATTTATTAGAATTACCGAAGAAATTTCTATAAGGGAAATGTTAATCTAGGATGGTTTTTGGATATTAGTAATCGCCTATACATAATATATGATCATAAGACAAAGCATGGGGGGAATAAGTAAACTATCACCCATCATCTCTAAACTCTGGTCTATCCAACTCTTCGATAACAATCTAGTACTTGAAGAAACTTAAGCAATCATATCTTATTGATGTTGCTGAGAATTACATGAAACATTGATGGGGAACATCATCTTTCTCCACAAACCAGATGAAAAAATATAGAAGTAAAATAAGGAAAAGAAAAGAAAGCACTATAAATAATGTGATGGGAAGATATCATCTTTCTCCACAGCTCCATTTCTTGGTGCACCAAGTATTACCATTTATAATATTTAAATATCTCCGATATCTGCCATTTGATATGAAACTTTTGACATATCCCTAACATCTAATATTTAAAATACTGCTTGAGGGGAATATTATAGTACTTAGTATATTTCAAAAGTTGAGGTGTTTATTTAATCTCACATTGAGAAACTACATATTGTATCCTATTTGTTTTACTATAGGTAGAATCTTACTATCCATCTCTGAGATATGAGGTCATTTTCCTATCATAACAATCAAATTGTACCAGTTTCATGCTCAAACGCCTCCAAGAGTTGACAAAAACAGATAAATATGGAAGAAGGTATGGGAAAGAATTAGTAAAGTAGACGTGCATTATTGATCTTGAGACTAGAGATTGTCAAAATACTAGTAATAGTATGATATACTAAGCTGATAATAAAGAGATAAATACAGAAGTTGGCACATGAAAAGATTTGTGAGGTAAATGCCCATTATTGATCTTGGGACTAGATATTGCCAAAATGTTAATGATAGTGCAACATACCTATAAGTTGTTGCGCCTGTCTGGTGGAGAAACCACATTGAAGTAAAGCTAATTGCTAGGCCTAGGAACCCACTTGAAGTCACCACCAACCAAAAAACTGGCATCTTCATGAGTGGCCTGCCAAATTACTTCATAAATACATGAGGCCAATAAGGCAAAAATATAAGATATACGTCAAAGAAGTGTATGACGAAACATTGTATTATATAATCTGAATAAATGTATGCATATATTCGAGGAGTGTCCAAGAAGTGTCAGAATCGAACACGAGTACGGGAAGTGTCAGGGACAGGTAAGGCAGCCCAAACTACAGCTAAACTAAGGATTGGTCAGTTAAATATTTGGTTATGAACTTCTAGTTTGTACACAGACCATCAAGCAGCATTGATTGGTCAGTTTAAATTTAGTTATAAACTTCTTTGGTCAAACTACAGCTAAACTAAAAAATTGAAAATTCAAGTTTTAGGGCACTAGCAAGCTGGCAAGCTGAAAAACATCTTCCATCGAATCTCCAAAAAAAGATGAAGAAATATTCAATATAAGCTCAGAAAAAGATAAACCAGTGTGTAATAAATGTTCACGATAAACCAGTGTGTAATAAATGTTCACGATAAACCAGTGTGTAATAAATGTTCCACTTAAATTATATGATGTGCCATTTTGCTTTAAAACATGTAGGTTTGTAGCATTAAGCTATCCTAGCTGGCAAGTATGCTATAGCATTCTATATTATCTGACAAGCGCGGCTACAGGGACCCAAAATATGGGACCAAGGGAGGGGACATGTGACGTGTCCCCTCCCTATTGCATAATGAGCTGGCATGACCATGTCCCCTCCCTATTGCATAATGAGCTGGCATGACCAGATCATTATGTAATAGGGAGGGGACACCTCACATGTCCCATCCATTGGTCCCATATTTTGGGTTCTTAAGGCATTTTTCTTATCTGACTAAGAATAGTTTTTGTCCTTTCCAGTTCCCTCTCTGTAAATAACTTAAAATTTTAAACATATCCAACAATATGCTTTATACAACAAACAGTAACACATTTTGGCATTAAGTATGTGCTTTGTTTATCAGAACCCTAATTAAATCGGTATCTAATTCTCCTACGAGTTCACTTTTTAATTAGACTGGACTTCTAATTTGATATTGATCTCTGTTTTCTGTTTCATAGTTTATGTATCCAAACAGTTGAGAGATATGGTCCAAATATGTTTTTTCTTGTCACAGTAGTGAAGATTTAGTTATGTCTAAAGGAGAATGAAGATAAGAAAATCTCAAGAATCAGGTAATGCTTCAACATGAAATTTTTGTTAGATTTCATAAGATCTATAGATTTAAACTTTTAGAAATATTTCAATGAAACGGTTAGATAAGATTATCCGAAATATATAAAATAAACAACAGGAACATTATGAAGAAATTAAGTGAGCCAGGACACTTTTATATTTGTTTTAAGAGTATCATAGACATCGAATCAAGTTATATGATAAGCTTTAAAGAGAGAATTTAATTAAAGCTAGAAAATCTACTGATTCTGACTTTGTGAATAGAGTTAGAAAGATAATCTATATATGGAATCTGGATTTGCTAATTGCAAATCAGTACCGTCGGATATTATGTAATACATATGAAGTAATTGTAACTAAAATTCGAAAGATATTTTTAATCACATATCAAGGGGTGAAAAATTATGCAACTTTATGAAAATTATGAAACGTTGATTCTCACAACATATGATACATGGGTAAAACATGTTGAAATTCTTTGAAATTTTATTTCACAGTTGATGAATAGTAGATCTCATCTAATGGTATCCATTTTCAAATTGGACATCCAAATTCCAGAATTGAATCAATAGTATCCGCATCTTGGATACTGTTAACAGTATCCTAGCTGAACTCTTATAAAAGAGTGAAGCAGAGGCTACTATTAATAGTATCCAAGATGCAGGTACTATTGGTTAGAATATGAAAATTAGAATTGAAAAATCCGCACTGTTGGATGTTAACATTAATTACTTAGAAACAAAATTTCAAAAGATCTCATTTTTTAATCACATAACGAGTGAAAAATTAAGCAATTTTATGAATTTTTTGAAACATTGAAAAGACTCTTTTGCATTTTTGTCTTATAATTGCAATTGGATTACAAATGCATACATGCAAACACACACACACACACACACACACATCACATTCATATGCACTATATACATACGCAAACACATGGATCTATGAAAACACATGCTTGGTAATTTGCAGTACTTTGGATCCTGAACGGTTCAAAGTTCAAATAGTTCATGTTAATTAATGCAGCAATGCTTCCGACATTGACCAATCATCTGAGACATTTTGGGAATAAGCAGTAGATACGATCATATCAATACAGTGTGCCAAACTGGGGGGATAAAAATAAAATTGATATGGTTTAGGAAGGTGTATTTAGACCAACATAGTCCAAATATTGGTGATAAAGTTATGGTTGTTAGGAGAGAGCATTATAGGTACACCTAAGAGAACATGGATTAACAAAGAAAATAGGTAACTGTTATTAAAATAAGACGAAGAAAATTGAATGGAAGAAAAAGATTCATGTATGTTTTACCGAAATAAAGGCACTCCAATGGTCGTTTAGTCTAACTTACTTTTGAGTACATTGAAATAATAAATAGACATGTAGTTTTTGGAGTTATAATCGTCCTTGAGTATGGGTCTGTACTATTTCACTTTCTGTCTTAGGATGCAGCAGTTCATTTCATTTTACAATCTTCTCATGTGCTGAGGACTGTTTGTAACACTGTAGCCTTGTCTATGAGATAATAGTTTCAGAAAAATGTAATAGCCGTTTAATATTTCAAATACTTCATCACCTAATAGTTGCTGGATAAGTCTATATCCTGGTAAATGTTGTACAAGATTTCCTAAGGATCTTACCTAAACAGAAAGGTACCTATGATATGGATAACTACTTGTGTGTGTGTGCATATTAAGTAAAAACAGACTTCAATTTGTGAATAGGATAACAAACGCAATAAATTTCCTAAGGAGTAAAAGTGTAAAGGTGAGATTAGTTTACGTTTTAATGAGGTAGTCCACTTCATTGAATGCAAATATAAGGAGCAATCCCAGTGGTAGTGAAAGAACGTTATTCAATAAAACCATGGAAAATTCATTCAAGTTTCCGGATTTTGTCACATGCTTAGCAGTATCCATAACTCGTCGTAATGTTAACTGCAATAGCAAAGCATTTGTCAGCTACAAGCATGGGGTCTGACAGATGGTAATAGCATTTATCATAATAGCATATATCAACTCATAAATTCTTCAAACAAATATCATAAGGTGCAAAGTGAAACTTACAGAAGTAATTCAAATAAGAAAGAGCATTTATCAGAAACAATCAACAAAACCTTTCTCCCAAATTTTTTGGGTCAGCAACATGAACCTTACTCTTCATTCAGAAATCTTAGTGAAAAAGATGCTCTCGTTACCCATGAAAGTAAAAGTTTTCAATCCAACAGGAAAGATATAATGCAAGTCCTTATCAGATAACTGAATCTTTACTTATCAAAAAACCATATCCTGAACACAATCCAGTCCAAGTGCTTAAGTACTAGCATAATCAGCAACTTCCCACAAATTCAATAATATTATATAGAAAGTCCATTAAAATTTCCCAACCTTACGTCCCTAAATGACAATGGATCATTATTTTCCCTTAATTTTGTGAAGTACAGTAGCCTACCATTGTCAACCTTCACATAGTTTCAAATCAAAGATGTCCCTTCCTGATCTTGAAAATTGCAGTTCCTTGCATTCCCAAAAGGGTTTTCAATTAACTGCATTTTACCATTAGGAAAACCGAGAATAAGTGCAGCCCCTACAGTCACCCGGTTTTTATAGTTAATACTTTGAAATGCTCGTGGAATTCAAATATGATGATAAGGGGCTCCCTCCAAATTCGTAAGGGGGCAGCTGAAGTCTTTTTCTCTTGTTTAAACCATGATTGTCTTCTCTAGTTGTCTAGTGATCCTCATTCTCAAATTAGTTAAGGAAGTAGTGACATCCTTCTCCTGATATCAACTCATCATCACAGCTGTGCGTGATAAAGCAATTTATGAAATATGGTTTGTCAACATGTGGTGTGTCACTCCTAACCAACATGGGTTTCCGGATGCTATAATTATCTGAAATTCAGAAATGAAGACATATATATTTGAAATATATGAATGTTCAATTCATGACATACGAATTAGGTTGCTCCATAAATGAAAAGAATCTAATTCTACTAAAATGATCCAGAGAAAAGGTAGCCTTTTTTTCCAAAAAGGATCACAACATACTTCATTGAATGCATAATTTCAAGGTGAACTATCGTCTACATATTTGTATACATCTTCCAAGAAAGGACATGCTTGTGGTATCTGCATGTGTGGGACACGCTGAATTTTTGCTTGGGAAGTGACCTACATAGCATAGTTTATATACATACTGCGTTTTTTTGTCATTGTTAAGCTTCCATACATTATTTTCTTTCAATTCAATCGCTTTGCGCTCTTGGTACTTTTTAAAACTAGACCATTAGCAAGATAGCCAATAGGCAATTTATCATGATTCAAGGTACATTTTATTGTCGTCAAGCCTGCATGGATCTCCAACATATTAGTCTCCGGTTATTTTCCCATAGCAGCAATTACTTAGTAAACTTCAGATTTCAGACTGCAAATTACTTGCAATTACTTTTGTCAAATCGGAAAATGATGCCCGCTGTTAGCCTGTGAACATATTCTCTACGTCGAAGTCTGCAACTTCTCTTCTCCATCTTCTGGATCCACCGGAAAATTGACTTTTGAAGGTTTTCAGCTCCAGATTCCCACGAGCATTTTTAAGCCAAATCTATCTTTTTGGATGATGCCCTTTATTTACCTATCTTATACTTAGTGAAGTAACGGATATAGACACTAGGTTATAAAATCAAACCAATAATTGGAAACATGCAAAAAAGTACTTTTCCTCATCCCCTGAAAGGCACAAAAACCAATATGTATATCCAAACATCAGAATTCAAGTCTAACATCAATAGTGTTGTAGAAGAGTTACCGAATATGCGGCTGTCAGAAAGCAGTTCACTATCTGCCATGCATAACCCACTGCATGAAATTGGAGATCAGTCATTCCTCCTGAAACTGCTGAGATTATCTGTATAAAAGAAAGTATAACCAACTCATAGAACTCTGATAATGTAGCGTAACCATATGAGAACTTCAAAATGTTTTCTTTAGCACATAGTTGTACCATTAGGAATAATGCAGCCCAAACTCTGTTGTCATGTTGCTTCTTGAAGAGGTATATTTCGCCAATAGCAGTTATAACATTGGTGACATTTTTAAGAACTGTTACCATGGCAACATTAATATACTTCAAGCTGTAAGTAAGAAAACAACATGTGAGGAAAGGTAAGCTATAATTGCGGAAAGACAGAGAAGAAAAATCACACGATCAGATGTCTATGACTATTGAGGAAACCGTTTAACAAAATTAAAAATATCTGATTATGCTGATGTAAAGAAAATTAAAGAAAAAGAAAGCTGTTCAATTGCTGCATATCATGGTGGCATTCGCTTTAAGAAATAATGGCCATAGATGACAAAGTATCAGCACGGAAGACAAACTAAAAATTTCAAGGGATTCACAAAATGAGAGAATAGAAAATTAAAACTCTGAAAGAAGCAGGTAATAATCATATTCTGAAGCCAGAAATAGAAAATGGAAACAGCACCTCACATGAAATGTCTAGTATAGTCCAGGACAGATTCTAAATTTGACACAAGAAATGATCGGAAATATTGATAACACTTGCAATGTATTAACTTGCAAAAGTGAAATATTCAGCAGAAAACTCAAGGGAAGTGGGTAAATAAAACTGGCTTTCCCCACACACTGTACAATAGTTCTAGCAATGTAAGACCACTTTCAAATGTTTGCTTACACGACCAGAAAGAACTAATACTGAACTAATATCACAGCACAAAAATGCTAATAAAGTAAACCTGTGGATAATGCCAAGTCTATAGTGTTAAAATACTGAATCATCAGACCAAAAGTTACCCTACAGAGAAAATGAAAGCTGGATACAGAATTTAGAGACCAGTTTGTCAAATTGGAGTCAGATTCTCAGGTATTTTTGTATCACCTCTCAATCAAACACTGTTTAAAATATATTGGCCGATATATCCTTTTATACAGTTCGCCGCAAAATGATATGTCGTCTTTTTACCGCTTTTGGCATTGATGTGTAATCATTTTCCCAATATATCACATGACATTTGACCTTCACAAACAGCCGAAATGTTGTGATGTTGATTTGGACTTAAGATAGGTTTCGAGTTATGGTTCAATTGAGGTCTAAACCCAAAAAAATATATACTACTATAAATAACCGGAAAGAAGAATTAGGGCTCAATTGAGACCAAATTCTTTTCCAAAAGTTCTGCAGAAAACACCACCTTTCTCCACAACTACATTCTTTGGTACATCAGGTATGAACATCTATGATATATACACGCATTATATAATATAACACCCCAATATTAATTATATATCTCCAATGTATCCCCAATATTCGCCATCCTATATGAAAAAACTGTCCGACGTATCCTTGACATCTGACATTTAAAACACTGTTATAAAATATAAGTCTCGTTTGTTTGGAGGTTCCAAAAGACTTGCAATGATAACCAAGCAGATTTCACACGCCATGAGGTAGTCTTCAGGTCAACCCAACTTTGAAAAAAATCTCCCATATTGTATCTCTTGCATTCTTAGCCATCACCTTGTGGCCCAAGGAAAAGAGAACTGACATTCAAGTTGTTTTGACTCTTCAAGCAATAACGATTACCAAAGCCCCATGAACATCATGGCTTTCACCAAGATGCTCCCCCTATTCTTGGCAATAATTATATTATTTTTCCCCTTGATATAGCTTTAGTACCAAGGAAGACCTTTATTCAAGTTTGCAACCCATCATTCTATTTGTAGTACCTGCAAAGGTAGGTGCAATGCTTTCGCTCATACTAATCGGTGCACCCATGAGCTTTGCATCATCTCACATTATTACTTCCCCTTAACTCATCATCAACTAAAGCTATCTAATTTCTCATAAATTGATCAATTTTTCTACTCCTCTCTTCAAAGGAGACAAAATCTAGTTGACGAGAGAGCGAATCAAGAAATAGCATCAATATAACAAAGAACTTGTGCAATACAAGCTTCATTTACTCCTTTAACATAAAAAAGAAACAATGACCATCTTGTCTCTTCACCTCCTCATTGAGCCTACTTAATGTGCTTCAGAACAAATAAGTTCACTAAAATGACGGCATAAACATTGAACCCCCCCAACTTGGGGTGAAAAAACCCCTGAACATTCAAAAAGATATTGCCAATTGATGCTGTCATCTCTCTGAGCCCTCCAAATTTTAAGAGGTTCATTTTTTATGTAAACAAGATATGAAGTTGCTCAAACCAATAAATCAGTTACATGGTTTTTTTTTTAATGTAAACAAGAGAGGAAGGTGCTCAAACCCCTAAAGTTTGTACATGGTTTTCTGAAACTTAACAAATATATTTATTATTGTTTCAAATAAATTGACTCTAAGATAGTAAAAGAAACCATATTATTCACCCAAAACTTGGACAATCAATCTAAATTGTTTTATCTCAATGGATAAAGTCGACGAATAACTGGGCTGAACCTTTTGAATATGACAGGTATTCACAAAATATTGCAAGTTTACATTTGTGTTCTAATTCATTCCTTTACACCATATTAAAAGGTTACATTTGTGTTTTTTAAGCTATACACTCTGCCTTCTAAAGTTTCCAGAAAATCATAAGTTTTTCCTTTCCCTTTGATCGTCAAGTAAGCTATCAGAAAAGAAATATTTTATATTGCTTCAAAAATTCAGAGGTATGCGTCCACTTTTTGAAACTATAGTAAGCTAGCAAAGTCAAATATGCATTACACTTGTTTTTTGGTTGATCCACGAAAGTCGAAATGACCAAAATCCTGTCTGAAAAACAAACAGCCCCTTTTGCAATTGGGCAACCTAGGACGAAGGAGCTCTTGCTCTCTTTCATATTCAATTCTCAGAAGCTGATTCTACGCATCCGACTAACGTCATGTGGCATGAAGGCTTCTGGTTCGGGGGTATTGGAAACAATGCGTTGAGCGCCCAGAGTCAGCTTCAGCCAAATTATGGGGTTATAAACTAAACACTTAGAGAAAGATGTAGATGATATGAAATGTAGCAATTTCTATCTAGAAAATAAACATATGCACAAACTCGTTAACTGTCACACTAAAAAGCATAATGCATAAAAAAGCCAGATCTTAAACTAATATTGAGCACAACAATGTACAAAATCCATGAAACATATAAGAATATCCCATGAGACAACTAGAAAAAACGATTTCAAAACATTTCAGTTGGAAAATTACAAAGGAACAGATGGGGG